AAAAATTCAGAAATGTAATTTTTATATTTATTTTTTTGAATATTAAAACGCAAAATACTACGTTCCTCTCCATAATTTTTCTATATTTTCAGTGTACTAGGATCTCCGAACTAGGAATCTAGTACAAGGATTAACGAAATTTTGTGAATGATTCACTATTCAATGAATATCATTTTACTCAATAATACTTTCTATTTTTTAATACTTACCTTTTTTATTAACAACTTTTTAATAAACAACGGGCGATGGCTAAAACTTTCTGAAGTTTACTGAGGAGGGTGATACATGTCACGGTCAAAGTCATAGAAAGTGGGTCTGTTTTTGCAAAAGTTTACTTATATTTTTATTAATCGGATTTCAGATTCGGATCGTTATGGTACTTTTTAAGCAAAGTAAAATGTCTAATGTATCATAGAAACATCTGAAATGAACGTGTTGTGTAAGTAACTTAGCGAGCACGTGAGTTCGATATAAAGATTTCTTAGAGAGAGAGATACAGGTTTCCTGTTATTTTAAAACAAATTTTTCAAATATAGTGTTACGGCATGTAACATTCTATCTCCAATCAAGACTATCGTCGCAATCAGTTATGGTTGAAATTCTTAAACGACGTTTTTCATAAGATAAGTCGTATTCGGGCGTTTAGAGTTGTACTCAGACATAGGGAGATGTTAATTAAAGCGAATCGTTCTCACAATGTAAACAATTACCGTTCTCTTTGTGTGTGTACATGTGTGTGCATAACGTTTAACGGAACAATACCCTCATTACCGTCGACGCTTCCGCGTTGCAGCGATATATATTCGCACAAAGAAGATTGCGGTAGTTACGGCGAAACGTGCGATGCGAATGACCCGATAATAAACGCTTATAGAGCGGAATTTCATAGCGAAACCGATCCCTAGCTATGGACACAAAGCTCTTCGATTCATTTTGCGATACACGTTGAACCATTTAACCTATTTCCGAGTACGTGACCCGAGCATCATTTGATAGGAAAAAGTGTACATACGATTTACTTTCGATTATCTTCAACTTCGTATTCGAGTGATTTTCACCGTCAATGACATAATGACGAGTTGATATCCGTCAAATTAAAAACACGTTTGTGAGCAAACTCAGTGAAAAATTCACGTTGATGTCGTATCGGATGTTTGAAATGCAATATTTCCTTCTTTCTTCAGTTCAAATTTGTCATTTTAGAAAAATCAGTTTTCATTTAGACAAACTATATCATCGATGACTCGTCACAATTATAATATTTTGAACCCCTATATCTGCTGAGTTGTTTTTTGGTTCTTAAAGACGTGTTGCTCACATATCTTAGAAGTAATCTTAGAAGTAAAAATTTAAAAAAATTATAGATTAATTTATATTATAATTAAAAGCACTTTATATATACAGGATGTCCTAAAACCACCGGAATTGCTTCTAATGGTAGATTCCTTACAATATTTTAAGAAGAAAATTCTAATACAAAAATGTCGAGGCTATAATAGCTTTTAAACGGGAAGCGATTACATTTAACGAATGGCAGGGCTGAGATTTCGCGCGCTCAGGTACGGAAAAATGACAAATGCAAAAAGTGCTCCTATTAATGGGGCGCTCCTTTTATGATATTATTGTCATATAAATTTGCAATATGTTTTCGCTTCTCTATGTATTGCATATTAATACATTTTTTCACAAATAAAAGATGTAAAAACTGAAGGCATAGGAATTGTAAGGTAAAATTGTTGAAATAACACCAAACATAATTATAAACGCAACAAGCAATCTATTGCGACCCGCACAATTATGTATTGAATGCGATAGTGGAACGCTCACCCGATTTTATTGTAAAAAAAATATTTTAATTTGTTATGTAATCTATTGAACTGTTTTGTTGTTATTAAAATTCGTTAAATATGTTAACAGTGTTA